ACTTCAACTCCCAGAATTCCCCAGCCGGCAGACTTTAAGATGAATGGGCTTCAACTCCCAGAATTCCCCAGCCAGCGTGTTTTAAGATGAATGGACTCCAACTCCCAGAATTCCACAGCCAGCATGTTTTAAGATGGATGGACTCCAACTCCCAGAATTCCACAGCCAGCCTGCTTTAAGATGGACTTTAACTCCCAGAATTCCCCAGCCATCCTCATCTTAAAAACTAAGGAACAGCACTACATGGAGATAACATATCTGGTTGTCAACAATGGAAGCACTTGTATATCGAAATGTTTGTAAAATGGGAAGTGTTACCAGGTATATAAAGATATTTTAAACGAAAAGGGTGAGCTCAAAACAAGAATTGAATGAACAAGGATTGGAGATACAGTGATATTCGTACACGCAGATACAATCAAGGTATGAAAAAGATATTAAAGATGAAGGGATTAAAGAATTTACAGAATTGGATAAAATATTAGGAACAGAAGATAAGGTGGTTAAAAGACTGTATTGTTATTTATTAGGTGTAAAGTTGGAAGGAGAACAAGTTAAAGAAACAGTTATAGCATGGGCAAAAATCTTTGGATATGCTATAGAACTAGATAAATGGCAGAAACTATGGGACAGAAATTATAAATCAAGAATATCGGCAGTATATAAAGAAAATTTGTATAAGATGTTTGCACCAGCAAAACTAGCAAAAATGTTTAAAGACAAATTAACCAAATGCTGGAAGTGTCATCAAACACCAGGAACATACTACCATATGTGGTGGTCTTGCATGGAAGCTAAAAGACATTGGAATAAAATACACACGTGGTTGGTATTTTAAATGATTAAGCAACATATAGATATAAAACCTGAAATATTTGTATTAGGAATGGTACCTGAAGGTTATACTAAAGAAAAAAACATATTTAATCATACTTGTATTAACAACTGCAGCTAGAATTGTATTTGCTAGAGAACTGGAAAAGCAACAAAGATACCGACAGAGGGAAAAGTAATTGAAAAAAATATTTGAATGTGAAGAAATGAATAGATTAACACTGGAAATGAAAGAAAAAGAAAAATCTGAATATTATATGGCATGGGATTTGTTTTATCGATGGCTAGAAAATAAAAGCCAGTAGGCTTTAAGAGGGGTGGACTTCAACTCCCAGAATTCCCCAGCCAGCGAGTTTTAAGATGGCCGGACTCTCACAATTTTAGGAGTTGAAGTCCACCCTTCTAAAAGCATCCAAGTTAGAGAGATGCAGTTCTGGGTTCTGTCTCGTTGCTTGATAGAAATAGTTCTCTTTTTTAAAAAAAATTGCAAATAGTTTTGATTGCCTTCCATCGGGCCACCTTGTCAGGGCGCCTTTGGTGTGTCTTTGAGCCACTGCCAGGTACGCTCAAGGCAAGCCCAGGTGTGCCGTTGGGTGCAGTTGTGTTTCACGGGCTGCTTCGTTGCATCGGGAAGGCGTTGGCTGAAAGCTTGGCACGACTTCAGATTAAATAAATCCCGCAACCCATTGCAGACAAGTCGAAACCAAGAGGCCGAGCACTTGGCACACCTGTGAAATGGGCTGAGGTCCAAGGATTTTTGTGCGAGACACACGCACACACGTACACACACACATCCTTTTGCAAAGTTGTCTAGTTGGGGTGATTAGCAGAGAGGCCCTTTAAGAACAGGGGTCTTCAACCTTGGCAACTTTAAACCTGGAGGTCTTCAACTCCCAGAATTCCCTATCTGGCTTTAAGCCTAGCAGACTTCAACTCCCAGAATTCCCTATCCGGCTTTAAGCCTAGCAGACTTCAACTCCCAGAATTCCCTATCCGGCTTTAAGCCTAGCAGACTTCAACTCCCAGAATTCCCTATCCGACTTTAAGCCTAGCAGACTTCAACTCCCAGAATTCCCTATCCGACTTTAAGCCTAGCAGACTTCAACTCCCAGAATTCCCCAGCCAGCAAAGCCACCAGGCTTAAAGTGGCCAAGGTTGGAAAATCCCTTCCTTTTTTTTAGAAGAGCCTCTGGCGACCATTTTGCCTGGAATTATTACAGGTAAGTCCAGTTTTGTTTAGCGACCGTTCGAAATTACAATAGCACTGAAAAAAAAGGGACTTAGGGGTGTTTTTCCACACTTACAACCCCTTGGTCCACGTGATCAAAATTCGGACAACTGACCCACATTTATGACGGTCGCAGTGTCCCGAGGACCCTTTTGCGACCTTCGGACAAGCGTAGTCAATTGGACGGGGGGGGGGGAGCTGGATTCGTTTAACCGTGGCATGAGTCACTGAACAACTGCAGTGATTCGTTTAACGATGATGGCAAGAAAGGTCATAAAACGGGGGCAAAGACTCACATGAACGACCGGCTTGCTTGGCAAGGGGAATTTTGGCCCTCGGTTGTGTTCATAAGTCGAGGACTCCCTGTATTGTATGAAGTGCAAGCCCGCCGCAGGTGGAGGAGGCCTCTTGTCAATCAATTCAATCTTCAAGGCAGGTAGTGCTCGACTTACGACCATTCGTTTAGTGACTGAAGTTACGATGGCACTGAGAAAAGGCACTTCGGACCAGTTTTCACACTTACGACCGTTGCAGCACTCCCCAGGGCCCTGGGGTCAAAATTCAGGTGCTTGGCACAACTTGACTCATGCTTATGATGGTCACAGCGTCCTGGAAGGGGTTGTGTGTCTCCTTTTGCAACCTTCTGACCAGGCAAGGTCAATGGAGGAAGCCAGATTCACTTAACGACCAGGTTACTAATTTCACAATTGCAGGGATTCATTTAGCAATCGTAGCAGGAAAATGGCTCTCAAGGAAAAGATTTGGACAGCCATGTGTCCAGAAGGGTTTAGGTGTCCCCTGCTTGAGCATGGGGGGTGGGGTTGGACTAGAAGACCTCCAAGGTCCCTTCCAACTCTGTTATTTCTTTTTTTTCTCTCTCCCTGTGATTCTTCCATCTGTTCACACAGAGATCCACAGTCCTAGTAACCAGTCAGTTTTTAGGATCAGATAGCAATAGCAGTGCCCTTAGACTTATATACCACTTCACAGTGCTTTGCAGCCCTCTCTAAGAGGTTTAGAGTCAGCCTCTTGCCCCCAACCATCTGGGTCCTTGTTTTATTCCCCTTGGAAGGAGGGAGGAAGGAAGGAAAGAAGGAAGGAAGGAAGGAAGGAAGGAAGGAAGGAAGGAAGGAAGAGGCCTCTCTAAATGGTTTACAAAGTCAGTCTCTGTCCCCCAACAATCTGGGTCCTCATTTTACCCACCTTGGAAGGATGGAAGGCTGAGTTGACCTTTAGAAGGAAGGAAGGAAAGAAAGAGGAAGGAAGGAAGGAAGGAAGGAAGGAAGGAAGGAAGGAAGGAAGGAAGGAAGGAAGGAAGGAAGGAAGGAGGGAGGGACAGAGGGAGGGACGGAGGAAAGTAATGTGAAAGGTAGGAAGGTAGCAATAGCACTTAGATTTTTATACCGCTTTCACAGGACTTCACAGCCCTCTCTAAGCAGTTTAGAGTCAACCTCTGGCCCCCAACAATCTGTGTCCTCATTTGACCGACCTCGGAAGGATGGAAGGCTGAGTCAACCTTTAGAAAGAAGGAAGGAAGGAGAGAGGGAATATGAAAGGCAGGAAGGTAGCAATAGCACTCAGACTTATTATATACCGCTTCACAGTGCTTTCCAGCCCTCTCTAAGGGGTTTACAGAGTCAGCCTCTTTCCCCCAACAGTCTGGGTCCTCATTTGACCCACCTTGGAAGGACTGAAGGCTGAGTCCACCTTTAGAAAGAAGGAAGGAGGGAAGAAAGGAGGGAAGAAGGAAGGAAGGTAACAATAGCACTTAGACTTATATAGTTTTAGATTATTTTATTGTCATTGCACCTCGTACAACGAAACCAAACACCATCTTCAGTGCACATCGTGACCATGAAAATAAACACATCCTTCACCCTTCACACATTGGACCGGAAACCCACGACACTAGTAGCAACACTGCACTATATAGTAGAATTTAATAGAGTTACTGCCCTGGGATAGAAGCTGTTTTTCAGCCTATTTGTCCTTGTTTTTATTATTCTGTACTGCCTGCCTGATGGTAATAGTTCAAAAAAAAATAGGGTGCCCAGGATGAGATGGATCTTTGAGAATGTTTTGAACTTTCTTCAGCTATAAAGCTCTTCCAAAGCGGGGAGAGGGCAACCCATGATCCTCTGGGCAGTGACGTTCACCCTCTGGAGCGCTTTCCTATCGGCCCCTGTGCAATTGGCAAACCCTACACAGGTGCGCAACCAGTCCACCTCATCTCGGTAAGCAGTCCCACTACTGTTGTATCATCTGCAAATTTAGCAATAGTATTACTAACATGAGCGGGAATGTAGTCTTGCACATAAAGAGTGTAGAGTAAAGGACTCAACACGCAACCCTGTGGTGTACCAGTGTTAAGAATAAGGCCTGAAGAGGTATGATTACCTAATCTGACCCTCTGTGAGCGGCCAGACAGGAAATCCATAATCCAAAGGCAGATTGAATGAGAAAGTCCAAGGTCCAGAAGTTAAGACACTAGTAGTCTAGGTGGAAGAATTGTGTTAAACGCAGAACTAAAATCCACAACAGGCATCCTCACATAGACCCTCCTGTTTTCTACCGCTTTATAGTGCTTTTACAGCCCTCTCTAAGCGGTTGACAGAGTCGGCCTCTGACAATCTGAGTCGTCATTTTACCCACCTCGGAAGGATGGAAGGCTGAGTCAACCTTGAGCCAGTCAGGATCGAACCACTGACAGCGAGTAGTGAATTAGCCTGCAGTACTGCATTCTCAACCACTGTGAGAACAAGGAAGGAAGGGAGGGAGGGAGGGAGGGAGGAAAGAAGGAAGGAAGGAAGGAAGAAAGGGAGGGAGGGAGGGAGGGAGGGAGGGAAGAGAGGCATAATGAAGGAAAGAAAGGAGATAGAAAGAAAGAA